CATTCAATTGACTCAAAACTTGTTACTCGGGGGTTTTCGGGGTCGCTGATTACGAATCCGTTGTCAGATTTTCGAAATTCAAAATGGTGGATCCAATATGGCGGACCAAAACCCGAAATCTTTGTTGATTTCCACGAAACTCGACATTCGGGAGTTTTTGGGGTCGCTGATTGCGAATCCGTTGTCCGATTTTCGAAATTCAAAATGGCGGATGAAAATACCAAAAATAATTTTAAAAATTGAATTCGTATGCAAAAAATTGAATTTCAAAAAATCCAAGAGTACTCACTCTTAGCGTTACCCGAAACTAACGATGAGGACGTGTCGAGCTACAAGTTCCATAAAAAAAAATTTTTTTTTGCTCTTGATTTTTTTTTAAATTTATTTTTTGTTTTTTTATTTTTATTTTTTATTTATTTTTGTTGCTTTTTTGTTTTATTTATATTTTTTTTAAATTTGTTGTTTTTTACATTACTTATACATTTTATTACTAATATTATTTGGTGAGTCATGGGGAATGAAAAGCCAGAAAACATTTTTTATCTATAGACACACAAAGGGGCACATTGCACTGTGTATAAATCCACGAGGTTCTTCTTTCGAAGTTTGTAGGATAGTTCGCCAGTAGAACATCTGCAGCATTGAAACGGTTATGAAACTAGACACGGGACGATGTCGTGATATAACCGTAAACATAAAAATAGTATCACAATACACAATATGGAATTATCAAAGAAAACAAAACACTAATAACAGTGCAATGTGCCCCTTTGTGTGTCCAAAGATAAAAATTGTTTTCTGGCCTTTCATTCCCCATGACTCACGAAATAATATTAATAGTAAAATTTAAAAGTAATATAAAAAACAACAAAATAACAAAAAAAAATAAAACAAAAAATAAATAAAATAAAAAAATTTTTTTTAAATTAAAAAATAAAAAAAATTTTTAAATGGAACTAGTAGCTCGCCACGTCCTCGTCGTTAGTTCTGGGTAACGCTAAGAGTGAGTACTCTTGAATTGTTTGAAATTCAATTTTTATTATATAATTAATATTTTGCATACGAATTCAATTTTAAAAATTACTTTTGTTATTTTCATCCGCCATTTTGTATCCGTCATTTCGATTTTCCAAAATCTGACAACGGATTCCTAATCAGCGACCCCGAAAACCACCGAGTTTCATGGAAATCAACGAAGATTTCGGGTTTTGGTCCGCCATATTGGATCCGCCATTTTGAATGTCGAAAATCTGATATCGGATTCGTAATCAGGGACCCCGAAAACCCTCGTCGAGTTTCGTGGAAATCAACGAAGATTTCCGATTTTGGTCCGCCATATTGGATCCGCCATTTTGTATTTCGAAAATCTGACAACGGGTTCGTAATCAGCGACCCCAATAATGTATAAGCGACAAGTTTCCCAAATACGTTTATACGGGATATTTTCAACAAACGATTTTTTTTTCAAAAAATGGTCAATTTTTGGTATATTCTTGTTTGTAATTAATTAACTACAGTAAGTTATGAAGTATAGTAGCTTGCATATGTTAAATAAATGCCCTAGCTATATAGAAAACCAGTCGCAACCTCAGAAATACGAGAAACTTATTTTTAAGGCGCAAATAACCAACGAATAGAAGGTGGGACTCTCTGAGTCCCGTCATGGCACAAAGGGTTAAATCACTTGTTTCTTATGATTAAAAATAGTTACTAAATTTTTCCAGATTTTATAAAAAATATGTAGAGGTCGCGTAAGTCGCATTTGTGATAAAAATTAATGTTTTTCAGTTGTGTATATTTTTTTCTAAAACGAATTTACACTTCTTGCAAGTTCTTGCAAATTTTTTATTTTTCAATATTTTATATACACAGTAAATAATATTTTTTCCAAGTAAGCAATCAAACATATACTTGTTACGTATCAAAGAAATATATAAGAAAAGTTACAAATTAAAAAAAAATTTTTTTGTAACTTGCTAGTTCATTGAATCTGAAAATGTATAAATTATACTTTCAATTTATATAACATACAATAGCTTCATTTCTATGTTAAGTTCAAAACTTTTCAAATGACCCTCGTATATTTTTATATATTAAAAGTAAAGAACAACTCCATTTTTTAGAAATAAAAATACTCAATCTAACGACAACTTAGTAAAAATTGTGGTAAATTATCTGATAATTTTAGAAATTTGATAAAATGATAATTTAAAAAACAATACAAAGATAAAAATTTTGATGTAACACTTAAGAAAGCATTTATAATTTTTTTAAGTTGAGTAAAACACTTATATATTATTATTTTATATTATAATATTAATATTTTCTATAAAGTGTTTTAACACAGTATATGATTATTACATGAATCATATTATACAAGGCTAATCATATTATACGTTCTTGAGTCAAACAACCAAAATATGAATTTAGAATCTTAAGAATAAACAAAATTTTCCTGTAACAGTTTGCTTGCAAACACTTCGTTTAAAAAATATTACGATTTCTTAAGTTATAGAACTATAAAAATAATTAATGCCAAAATAATTTAGATTTGCCCTCATTATTGCTTTACAATAATCTAAATGTTCAATATAATGGTCTCCAGCCCTGAGACAATAGTTTCATGAATTTTTATATATTTTTATATACATAGAATCATCGCCTCCTCCACCAGTTAAGGAGGAACCTGAAAAGATCAAAAAGTGGAGGGAAGAACAAAAAGCGCGTCTTGAAGAAAAAGGTAACGCAATTTTATTCTAAAAATATTTTAGGAATAGTATGATTAATAAGTGTGCTATTTTTTTTAGATACAGAAGAGGAAAAAAAGAAAGAGGAATGGAGAGAAGCTGCAAAGAAAGAATTAGAAGAATGGTACAGGCATCATGCAGAAGCTATTAATAAAACGAAGACTACTAACAGGTAATTTTGCTAACTTTATATCTTCTTTCTTCTTGTATATCTTCATTCCATAAAAAATTGACAAGCTAAAACTGAACTAAATTATTTGAATTAAAATAAATCAAATTGTGATTGCTAATTAGAATATTTTATGACTGTCTATTAAACATGTTTAACAAGGCTTGTACCCCTAATAACAATATAATATTTACATTTAAAAAGATGGTGTAATATATTAAATAAAAATGCAAAATATTGTTAAGAAGTATAATAAATGTTGGACTAGTTATTATATCATTTGATTTATAATTAGTCAAATGGATAATTAGTCCATTATTATGCTATGTATAGATTTTTGAAGTTTTTAATTGTATTATTTCCATTTCGCTTCTTAGGGAGTCAGCCAAGTAAGTTAATATATCTTTATACGCATGAAAACATGCATTGCAATAACAATTTATGTGTTATTATAACACAATTTGCTTTGCAAACTCTGAAATTAGAGCGGCGTTCTCTTTTTCCATTCACACATTGTAAGCTTTATTCTATTTTTCTCACTCATTACATGCAGAGAGAAGATAAAATAAAGCTTTTACAGCACATCAGCGCCAAAAGCAAACGCAGCGTTAGTCTCATAATATAAAAACCGAATGCAACCTATATTGCCTATTGAATGTGAACTGAATATATAAACTGCAGCTTCCCCGCCCTCCTCTCTCTCTCTCTCTCTCTCTCTCTCTCTCTCTC